GTAAAGCCGTTATCACGTCTCGAGAAAGAGAGTAAATATTCCAGCACACTCTTACCTACTGGAGCTTTGCCTAAACCAAGAAACAGCAACGATTCTTGTCATTTAACTCCATTATCAGATTTCAACTTGCTAGATTTAGAGGTCGAATTAGGGGAGGTTGACGAAAAGTGAGAGAATTTATTGAAGGCAACAGTTGCGTTTCCCGTTCATATAAATTACAATATCAACATCGTCTCCACTGCTTATGCTTTAGTGACAAACGCATTCGAATAAACTTGTAATTCGCACTTTACTTCTTTTCTAATCAAATTTGTCAATGCGTGTTAAAATAACATTGTATACATTTACTGAGCTCAATCATGAGGCTTATTCGGTTTCACTGGTTCCTCAATTCTTTTCCTCCGCTTCCGCACCACTTCACACCCAATAATATCCCCTTCTTTATTAAAGTAAACATTGAGAACTAAGTATCTAAAGTTTATGGGATTTGATGTTAATCGTTCCTGAACAAAAATGCATAGTCAATTTCTGCACCCTGACATTTTTTCATACCCAAACCAATTCTTTCCAAATGACCCATGCAGCCGGCAAGACATTGAATAATTTTATTACGTAATAATCATTTCACGATAAGAATGCGTACAAGAATCCTGGAGACGCGATAAAATCCACAACTGCTCGAAATCTTCCGATTGAAGAAAATATCTGAAACTCGTACAAGAAGCAAAAGCCAGGTTATTCCGCGCGAGTGATGAATCATACGCTTCGAAGATCTTTCGTAATATTGCTGTAGCGATGCAAGTTTTAACGGCATCTGCAACAACGGGAAGTGCCCAGTCCCGAATTATCGCTATCGGCATAGTTCAGAATTTCTGGATACCAAACGCAGAATCTTATGTATATACTAATATTTAAGAATTAAATTAATGTTAGCACTACCTAAAAGCGGAGCTAATTGAAGAATTAACCGCTGATTATGGAAATTCTTAATTAGTTTAACCCGGAGTGCGATCTTGCACAAAGGCCATATGAAATTATTGTACAAACTAACTTACAATGCTGCGGACTTTTCTATTTTACTATTACCCAACGCCATTATACTTCCTTAAAAGTCAATTAAAACCGTTTTTGCTTAATTGAAAAACTTTTATGGTTTAAAATAAGGCTGAAAATTGCAATCAAATTTAGACGAGAAAAGTACAGTCTCAAATAGAGCATCCAATAATGATGTTATCTATCCATTGAAAAATAAAATTATTATCCAGCTTCTGTAAGTCGAGTTTCGTTGTCTTGTTTATACATTTAATTGATAACTACATACGCTGTATTGGCTTTGTGAATATAATAAACGCGCGATTTTGAAATATTGTAATCTCTGTTATAGCAAAACTTTGGGTTATAAGACACTTTGGGACAAGGGAATATTTTGTTCGGACTGCCGAATTCGTTATAAACAGATTGACTGTGTACTTGTAAGAGTGTGTTTCAACCAAAGAGATGGACATTCTCGAACGAAATAACGTATCCGCAGTCCCCGAAGGTTTCACAAATGAGCCGTCATAATTCACTTACATCAATCATCGTCACGACAGTTCCTAATAGCTATTTTTGAAGACGAAAAACAGCTATTCAGCTGCTGGTATAAAGACGGGGATTGTTTATGAATGCTCAAAGGCTTGGTATGTATAAACAACACAGCGGATGACACAGCATTATGTTTCTGTTTATTTTCTCTCTGACGACTTGTCGTTTGGAGCAATCACATCACTATTGAGATCTGCCTACTTATTATCCGTTTATCGCTATTGTTATTTATATTAGTGTATAAGATTGCATGTTAATATTAATTAGTTGAGGCCTACATACGGCAACAATGGCATAAAGAGTCGTACACGAAATGTCCAAATATAAAATAATTGGACACACTAAACATGTGATTAATTGTTAGAACCATACCAAGACATTTTCGAACTTTTAGCAAGTTAATTATGACAATTATGTTTGAAAAAACACTGAACCCTGAAATCCTTTCTCAAATTGTTGTATGCTCGCATCATATTTAGCGATTTCGTGCCAGGGGAATGGGATCTTTCTTTTGGAAATGATGTTCCCAGCCTCGTAACACACGACTACCAGACTTGTAAATTCAATTGCATTTTCTCTGTTCAACTGCATAAACCAATACAAAACCATGGACGATAATAACATACCGTACGAACACAGAAAAGAACGAGTTAACCTGCATCGAAGAGGACTTCCTCCTATGAGAAGCTTTAAAACACATACTCAGTCGACTTCACCCGACACGGCGAATCTGAAAGGGACGGAAAAGGGTAAACAGAGCCAGTTGTCCTCTTCAAGATCACTATTAAAAGAAAACAACAAAAGAGAATCAGGATTTGGTGCAAAAGCCTTCAAGACGGGAAAGACAAAAGATCCAGGAACTATAAGTGCCGCCATTACCGCTGCCACTGCCACCGCTACCACCACTGCTGGTCCAACAACTTTAGCGTCTACAGCAACAGAAAGCATTTCATTCAACAGATACCCATATCATCCGTCGCGAGTTAAAATTAGTAACCCCTTGTCACTAAGCACAATTCGCACCAGTTTATCTTCAAACTCAGTTCGCTCTCCAAATTCATCACGTTCCTCAAACTCACGTCGCTCACCTCCTCATAAGCACAAGAAACCAGCCGCATCAAATCAGGGAGTCAATGTCTATTCCGATGCAGATGCAGTGCCCATAATAACGACAACAACTTCGTCTCCGACACAGGCGTTTGCATCAGACACAATACCAGACAATGATCCGCCTAATATACCAAAAAGGTCGGCGCGAATGGGAATGGTTTTTCCTGACGATCATGATTGCATGAATGCTGAAATAAAAAGACAAGAGCAATTGGACATGCCGAGAATTCCAAAACGAGAAGCTTCATTGCTCTGGGGATCAAACGCGTCGTCTCAAAGTATGTCGCGCGGATTAAGTGATTCAACGACCGCCATGTCAATAACACCAAATCCACTCAAACAACGTTCGATTACCAAATCCCAGGAAGGTGTTTCCCAGGAATTTGATTCTAACAAGCCATATACGACATCAAATTTTCCCACTATCTATACAGTTTCCGCACACAAAAGTCGGAATGTTGATTATAGTAGTGCATTTAACAGAGCATCAGACGATCTAGAACCCCATTCTACGCTTTCCAATCCGTACGAGTCACTGCGAATGTCGCGGTCGTTTTCAGACGTGTTACCCAGATCCCTATCGTATAACAATCAATTAATAAGCTTCGATCGACCGTCGGAATCGCCTCCTGATTCACCCGAGATGTCGAGCAGAAAACTATCCATCAAGACAGACATTAATTCTATTGTACAGGACGATAAGGACGATAAGGACGATAGTAACCCTGACTCGCCAACACAATCTGGTGAAAAGAATGACGATTCGTTCCCGGATGAACTAACATACTATTCACCATTTGATGGCAGAAAGCCATATTTACGAGGACATTATTCAAACTATTCGATCGATTCAACATTTTCACCCGAAATGAATCAAGTCATATATTCAATGTCACAGGCAGATTTAAATTACGATAATCCTACAGAAACAACAACTGTTTCCGACGACGCCACAGACACTGCTACTTCTAATGCTACCGAGTCGAGTAGTCCATTCTCTTCCGAGTATTCAGCACCTAAACAATCGAAACGTCCTCTGCAGGACATGTCAATCAACATTCAGTCAACTTCCATTCAACGCTCACCGTCGCTATCTTCAACAACCTCCAGTGCACAATACTCATACAATACTGACAGCGGCCCGCCCCCGGCAATTGTACCACCTCGTAAATTCCTTCTACAATCACTTGTGCTCCAAGTAGTAAACTCTAGCAGTACAAAAAATCGATATCTATTCCTATTCAATGACCTCTTAGTTATCGCAGAACCCATTAACGTCGAACCTCATACGATACCTACTTTGGACAACTTATTCCAGATCAAGTATATTGTTGAAATGAGCAAAATTACTTTAATAGTATCGCTTGATAAAGAGGAAGATATGAAGAATAAACCTAGGAGGGAACCATCAGTATTACAAGAGTTTGCTAAGAAGTTTGCTATTGATCCTATATACGCTATTGATTACATGATTGGTACAAGACGCATAATAAACGATCCGGTGCATATTGCAAAATTACTCCTGAGGAGTTCAGAGTTAAGCAAGCGTCAGTTGGGTATTTATTTGGCTGATCAGAACCACAAGAAAGTGTTACTGGCATATTTGGATAGATTGAATTTTGAGGGAATTTACATTGACGAAGCGCTGAGGATATTTTTGATGAGCATAGTTCTACCTCAAACTCAAACAGACATTAACTATTTAATAACTGCGTTCGCTAAACGATGGCATCATGCCAACGCAAATGTAGCCAAATTCAATGATGAAACAGCCATTAAACTGACATTTGCAATGATAGACCTAAACAACAAGCTACACAAGTGCGAGACCGTGGGCAAATCGTCCGCCACTTTACCAGATGCTGCTGCACATTCTGACTCTAGTGACTCTTCTGTAACAATCGAAGATTTTATTAACCGATTTCGACGCGAAAGCGATCAGTTCTGTTTAGTTCCCGATAACATGCTGGAAAAGGTATATCGCTCAATACGCGATGAAAAACTAGAAACAGCTTGGGATGACACAATGGAAAATACTCCACAGATACCTGTCACTTTTCAACCTTCTCGATTACCCAGTCGATTAACACTGAAAGAACCATCGGACTTTATCACTGTTTCGATTCCCTCTCCAGATCCGCATTTCTACATAAGACTGCACGGGCAGGACCTTCGCTTCGAACCATCGGTACTTGATTTCTCTCGCCAGAATGCAAAAAGATTCCGTATAACTGGAACTACGCTAGGGTCTAAATCGATGATGCTGATCAAGTCTGGCGCCCACGCACCGCATTATACTAATCTACCGACAACAAAAACAGTGCTCGTCGAGCGTGCTTTTCTCAGATGGACATTCCAGATTGCATTCACCGATACCAATGGTCTCAGACGGAAATACGTATTTAGCGTCGATTCACAAGAACGTAAACGGCAATGGGTCGAAAGCATAAGAGGTGCAATAAACGAAGCAAGATTAAAGGCTTACAACATTAGTAGCCCCAAATTTGTCGTCGTGGATGACGATGATAAAGACAAAGATGACGAGGAAGAGGAAACAGGACGAGTGAGCAGGCGAACTCCGACCAAGGTTGATCCTAATGAAGCAGCGGAAGCGGTTGTATTACAAGTTCTCAGGGATGCACTAATACCAGATGAGAATGCCATGAATGACATTGGGGATCGGACGAGTGTCGTGGCTATTGGAGGATTAGGATCGATTAGTAATAGTCCGACATCCACTGTTTCGACATCAATGGTTAATGCAGTAAATGGTTCTCCCTTTTCGTCTTCTTCGTTTTCGAGTTCTCCGCCGTCCAGTTCTTCTCCTACATCCCATGTTCGTAAACATAGTCGAGTAACTAGTCTTGCGAATATAGTGACTGGTAGTTCTGTTCGACAAAGCCTATTAAGGAATAGCATGATTAGGAATAGCGTGTTGGTGCCAACTTCCGCGACACAAGATATTACAGTCGCTGCCTATGCCAAGACTGGACATGATATCATTAGGATGGCAGTACAGAATAGTTTATTACCGATAGTTCTTGGATATTTGAAGAGCGAATTGGAAAAGGCTGAAAACGATAAAGAGCAAGTTGAGAAGGACAAGAATCAAGAAAGTATAACGGTAAATGAAGGTGACGAAGAAAGTTAAATAAATATTGTTTTTTATATAATATTATTTAATAATTAATAGATGAAGAAATAGGTATCAAAAAATTTGTATTTATAGATTAAAAGTATCTTAGTACACATGACCTAATAAGTGTAGTAATACAATAGATGATCGCACTGTAAAGCTCGAGTGAATAGAAATATAATTTACTCTGTTCATTCCCCTCCAGATTATCAACAATAAACCACAAATTACGGTTAAGTTAGCAAGAGCGCCTAACGTGAGAAGATTTTACATAACTCATGCGATAAATTGTACCGCAAAACTATTCAAGCAGAAATCCCAG